TGTGATTGTGATCACCCAGCCTATGGCTAGTTTGACTTGTCTGTTGTCCCACGGGAACCGCATTGGTGTCCCAGACAAATCCTGCTGCCAACATGCCAGCCTCCAGGGAACTAGGCTGGCTAAAGCCTTACTTCCCCTCCAGCGGCAGGAAAAAATCCAAACAAAGTAAACAGTAAGCACCTAGTAGTCAACTTCCTTATCCTTGTTAATTATTCAAAATCCTGGAGGAGAGCCCGGCCCACAGTTGTCTTCTGAGTCACTTTTTTCTCCTGTATTTTTCAAGAAGAGACTTCCTTGCAAGCCCCCGCCTCCCATCTTTGATTGTTAAACAGCAGTGGCGCCGTCGTTACTGTCTGTGCGACTGATGCCGCCCAGCTTCCACCTCTGCCTTTTAACCGGAACTTTAATTGCTCAGAGTAAATTTGGATTGCTTAATTTTATCTAATTTCCAAAACCCCTTTGTGTGTGTGTGTGCGTGTGTGTGAAGGGTTGCAAAACTTGAAATGTAACTTGCTGGATTTATCAGATGAAGTGGAGACAATCAAAGCCTTTTTAACAGCTATAAACAGAGCACTCAACCCAAAAATGTCCTCAGATTTGTTTTAACGTTTTAAATTTAAAGCATACCCTTGGTGGCAGCCAGATGGACACAGGGATGCAACATTTTTTCTGGCTCACCAGTAATCCGCCAGGAAGACAGGCAGACACTTAGACACACACACACACACACATACACACCTTTGCAGCAGTAATACCATGCTTTATTAGGCGGCCTCTCCTGCCATCTTGTCTCCCCTCTCAGATTAATATCCTCTGGGCTTCTCACCAGCTGTTTCCGTCCCTCAACACCCCCCCAGCCAGCCCTGTGCTTCTCATGGCAGGGCTTACAAACTGGGACATAATGCCTGCGTGGCTCCAGGAGAGGTCTTTGACTTATCACTGTGTGTGTTCACTTGGTGATTTGAACAGCAGATCTCAAAATGTATTATACTGCTGAGACACAATGTTGATAAGATGATGAACTCTTGAACTTGCATAGTTTACATAATCATATTTGCACCCACTTGAGGCAGATGTGTAATTTAATACTCTATCTGGATTAGTTTTTTTAAATCTTTCTTTTAAACAATATGGCCATTTTGCTTCTCTGAAAGTGATGTTAAATGTCAAACAATATAGAGATTTCCATTGCAAGCAGAAGCATAAAATAAAATAAAATAGGCATGCTAACATATTGGTTTTGGCTTTACTTGAGTGAATCTGCACTCTAAATCATTTTCATCACAAATTATTTCATCATTCAACACAATTGTTGGTTGTCAAAGTGGCTTAATATATTTGTGTATTTACACTGTTTATTTTTCACTCATCTGTTTAGCTTCATGCTGTCTGTGCTTGTTACCATACTTGTGTGTGTGTGTGTGTGTGTGTGTGTGTGTGTGTGTGTGTGTGTGTACTGTATATGTGTGCAAGGCCTTCCTTGGGTGTGTCTGCCTTTGGCTCAAGTGGGTGTTTACTTCTCATGGTGTTTTTGCTGTTTGTGCGTAAGGGCAGACAAGATGTGTGATGCTTGTCAGCACACTCAAGGAGACGAAAGACAAGAGGGTGTGGAAGTAGCCGAGCGCTGTTCAGGTAACAAGTTGTCTTCTCAAAAATCTCTCAAGCTCTCAGCCCTGTTGCCTTCAGCATTCCTAAACACCACTCATCACTGAGCTGCTTCAAAACAGAACTTGACACCATCTACAAATCTGGGCATAAGTGAGCCCCAGTATAGGGTCCAGGTGCTCAGTCTTAAAACACAACCATTAGTCTAACATGTGTAGCAGCTAGGTTGTGCTTCTTGTTTCCTATGCGCTCACCTGTGTGTGAGCTGTTATTAGGCTACTTCCATAAAACTGATTGCATCACCACACTTGACAGATGCTACATGAGTCAGTTTTAGGAGTGGGGCCTACTGACATACATAGACAATGGGAATGACAAATGCAGAATGTTTTCATTCACTACAGTACAGCTAGGCAGGTTTATTAGCACTGAAACAGCCACCACATCCATGACAGTCTGTTTTTAGCCCAGGTGAAGTTATTAGTTTGATTCCATGTTGTACTGTTTGGTCTATGTCATCCAAGCTGTTGCATTTTGTGGCTAATTTTTGTTATTATGTTTCTGTATCTGGCAGGTGACATAGCCATGCTTCAAGACTCTGATTGGTTTTGTTGTTCTTCCAGCTAGGGAAGCATTTGTCAATGTGCGCAACACCAGATCTATTGAAACTGTTGTTGGGTAGTGTGTGTGTCTGGAAAAACTATGCCACAGACAGGAAGTGCCAGCGACAAAATTCAGTGGAACACCAGTCTTAGGAGACACACCCACTCAATAAACTGACTGACACATAGGAATTCGCCCAACTTTAATTACACTGATTATGGAACACGTGATCCAGAGTACTGGTTAAATGCAGTGGTGTGCTGTGTGGTTTTCACAGTGCCAAAGCTGTGACCTAAATATGAATACATCTTAAAGACACATTTCTTAACTGCTTTGGAACTACAAGTTTGTTGGAAGAAAATTTGACTTGTTGCTCAAACATAGTAACATTTTATTTTAACTCAGTAAGCAAATTTAGGAGTTAAGTATCTGGTCATGCTTCAGAACGTTTATGGATTCAATCACTGTTGAGGTGACACTGCTGATGTCACAACATATCACTGCTGAGGTGACACTGCTGATGTCACAACATTCATTTAGATCCTGTACTTAAGTACAATTTTAAGCTGCTTTATTGAGAGGTTCTATTTAATGCTTTTTAGAGTTCTACTCAGTTATATTTCATAGGAAAATACTATATGTTTAATTCCCTTTGGTTGGTGTTTAGCCTCCTCCAGCAGACCACTTGCTTTGTCTTTTCATTTAGCTATTTTCCTTGGGAAGACCCTTCAGTGGACTGTGTGCTACCTGACTTATATTTCATTTTTCTTTTGTTTACTTCTTCTTTTTTTATTTTTTCAGAGCAAACATACAGTATAGAGCTTGACCCAGTTCCACACAATCTTTAACAGCTGCCTTTCATAGCTTTTTTATTTTTAGAAAACATAAATTGAAGAAAGAAATATAACAACGATATAAGTAGTGTTGCTTTCGTCAATGAAAATTATGACTAAATGACGTTGTCAATGAACCTTTATCGCGTGACGAAAACGAGGCGACCAGATTGCTTGGTTGTCTCCTGCCCTGTAAGAGAGCTAGAAGTGGCACCATGATGGCTCATTTATCAAAGCAGCCTCTTGTGACATTGCAGTGAAAAAAACAATCCCCAAAAAACAGTTTCCTCATAGACGACCATTATAAAACAGATGTTGGTGATTGTGTTTTTAATGAATATGTGACACATGGAGGTTTTAAGATACAGTATATTTGTAAAACTTTCCCAGAGCCTAGGAAAAAATAGTTTTATTTCAGAGATGTCATACCAATGAAAAGGTCTTGTAAATGCTAATGTGCATGTGCACTGGGCCACAACAGGAAAGCCAATCTGGAAACTGGAAAAAATGTTTGGCTTATGCTCCAGATGAGCACCTCTCATTCAAGTGCCTAGGTGCCCTTTGAGTTTGGTCTCCACTTCCTAAAATATAAGCAGCAAACACAGAGGTATGTAGACTAATAGTCTGTAGGATAGGTTAAGTTCCAAAAGCCCTGGATTCTGCACATTTCCCATAATGCAGCTCCATATAATTATAACCGTGATGAGATCAGCAGAGTAAGATTTTCAAACTTCTGTAGGTTTCCTCCTGAGTTTATAAGAAGATATTACACAAAGATTTTACAGGCTGAGTTGTGTGACTAGTAAAATGAACTTAAAATTTCCCCTTTAACTTTGGCAGCTGCATTTCTAATAAAAATGTTAACTTGTTTACTTTAGTGAATGCAAGGTCAGAGATTTGTCCATGTCATCTTTCACACCACAGAGACATCAACTCAAGAATTCAAGTGAAGCTGACAACCATAGTAAAACAAATAACACTGAAATAAAGCAGGTAACTACTTTATTTAGGTTTTTTTTTAACCCTCTAGCGTGAACAGGGAATGATAAACACTTTCAGGATGTAATTATAAGGATTATAATTAGTGTTGGCTGTGGTTTTGCAGCCCTGGCAAACAGGCGAAGGGGAGGCAGACCCGTGATGAAGAGCTACATCATCACACAGGCCTGCTGCGCAGCCTCTCATAGGTGTGGACTGGACTCTGAGACGGTGAGCTGTGCTTGTGGCCAGACGAGACGAGACCTTTAAGTACAGACCTTTGGATTTCTCGGTCACGTGACTCGCTATCTACAGTCTGCCTTCCGCAGCCGGCCGTTCGCTCTCGCCAGTCAGAAAAAGGTAAACATTTTCTGCAGCACTATTCACAGACTAGCGCTAGATTACGGACTGGTAACCCTGACGTTGAGCCTCTGACTCCAGACTCCCCCCGTTAAATGTGAAATGACACAATGCGACAGCCGGGCGTGACAGTGTGGGCCCCATCGCTGTCAGGCCTCATCTCCATTAGAAACACTTGATTTCAATCCGAGCTCCGCCACAGGCTTCATCTACGGCCAGCGCACGTTTGGCGACATTATCTTCGTATCGAAAGCAGTTATCAGCGCAATGCGAGGTGCGGATGGTAACGGAGCGGTGTGGCGCTCGGATTTGCGAAGATTACAGCGTGTGAAGTGCTCAAGACTACTTCCTAATCCCGGTGTGAAAGGGACGAGCAGGTCACTAGCTGTAGCTGACTTTCTGAAGAACAACAACTGGGTGGGGGACGGGAGGAGAGTCTTCCTCCTGACTCCACACATGCACATAATAGTGAAACAGGTGTAGGCTCACACTGGATGTCAGACTCCCGACATAGTTTTACAAAAAGAGAGTTATTTGGTTGAATGAGCGCTTATTTTACATGTCATCAGTCTGAACTCAGCTCTCACAGACATTTATCTAACTGTTTCCCACCCACTGTTTTTTGCAGGATGGCAGAGGCTCCCATGTCATGTGATTGTTTTGTTTCCTTGCCCCCTGGCTCTCGCGATGACCACGTGATTTTTGGAAAGAACGCAGACCGTCCTCGCGATGAGGTGCAGGAGGTGGTACACTACCCTGCAGCATCTCACCCTCCGGGCTCCACGCTGGAGGTGAGGCAGCACCTATACAGGCGCCCATGTAGTCCCCTAAATAGAATGTAGTCCAGTACAACACCACCTTTAACTATGATCTCAATAATAAACATATAATTGAATTTATACATTGATGACAATTTCACCAAAACAAACATTTTGAGCTTCATAACAGATGTTAAGGTGGAAGTGTAGCATTGAATTGCATACAACTGTACAGGTGTACCTAATAAAGTGGTCGGTGAGTCTTATCAGCCGATATAAAATTTTTAACAGAAATATTGATAATGATGGCTGAAATTATGTAAATATGAAGAACTGTGACAAAGATAAACACTCAGTGGGACATACTGTATATTTGAAAGTATGCTTGGTGGAAAGCAGAGTAATGGTGCCACTGTTCTTTTACTTATTAGCCAGAATGATGCCCCAATACTGATGTATCTTTGATAAGGTCATATTGGCCAGTCTGTCAGCCTGGCTGGTTTTACCAGTCATGTTCCTGCATACTGCATACAGTCCATGTGACTTTCTGTGCATTGCAGTGTGACCACGTGACCAACATCATTCTTTTCTCTCATTCTCAGGCCCTTTGTTCTTGTCTCTATTCTATCTGCAGTGCACATACATCCAGATCCCTCAGATAGAACAGACTCATGCAGTTGTCCTTAGCAAACCTGCCTGGATGTGGGGTGCTGAAATGGGAGCCAATGACCAGGGAGTCTGTATTGGGAATGAGGCAGTCTGGACCAGAGAGCCCATCACACCCGGAGAGGCTCTGCTGGGCATGGACCTGGTCCGGTGAGCACCAAAAGGCTTTTGATTCCTCACACAACTATATAAATAGCATTTTTCATTTTAGCAATAAAGAAAAAAGTAATTCTCTGAGCTGACAGGAGCAATCCGGTGGACTTCCGGGTTGCAAGCGAGAGCAGACGTCTTTACTGCTCCTCTTGTCTGTTCTACGATTTTTCACATCTTCTACATTTTCAAGTCTTTGAACAAATTCTACAACTATTAAAATGCCTCCAAGAG